TCGAGGTTAAATATGCGTTCAAGGTTGGCTCCCAAGGTCGACTCTCAAAGCGTTCTAGAACAGACAAACCCTACCTAGTCATCAACATCCAAAAAATATATCATTTTCAAAACGTCCGCCACTGAGCGTGGGCAGTGAGGTATCAGGGATCAATATACTTACGACAGTAACTTTAAATCATTATATGCATGTCTGTCATACTTTATGGCAGATAATTCCAAACATCAAGCTAACTGATTTTCATATTTGGACAACCCTAAGCTTGAGGTAGATTTTTTATAGAACTGAACCGGTTTTCAGTTTGGTGAGATACGTCAATTCGAATGCGCTTAAAACAACATTGATAACAGGTCGATGTCACTATTACTTACATAAACAAATCCATTTTCTGTACACTCGGAAATTTTGCTGCCATAATGGTTCCAGCACAAGCAGTTGATGTAATCGTCGTTCACGTCAAATTTTGCCACTATCTTGTAGTCAAATGTTGCAGGTAGTTTGCTATGATCCAAAATGAGAAGTCTTTTCCCATTTAGCGTGCATGTATAGGTCATGCAGAATGAACTCTTAGTAGTATCGCTGGTATTACAGTGGATTCCAGATCAAGCATGTCAGCTTATGCTCTGCCATTAGTAAATCGATTTGGATTAGTTCTCTTGAATAAACAAGTATCAGTCCCAAGTTAAAAGCAATCAGAAGGGTCGAATAACCTAACTTCCAGTCGGATGTATACACGGAGAAAGTATCTGGCGTTTTAGCTGGTGTAATCGCTAGGAAATAAAATAATTTGTAATGAATTACTATGTAATAGTATTGATTAAAGTATTTTATCCGAAGATAGCCCTAATGATATATTCCCGCGTTAAAAAAATTATCCGTGAGAAATTTGTCACAGGTGTCTTTCTATTTACTATATATATATATATATATATATATAACTTGAGACGTGGTCATTGTTGTCTAGACCAGTTAGGTGAAAAATTAAAGCTTCCGCCTTTTGTTGGGTACTTCGACAAAATTTAAGCAAAGAGGACTCTTTATACTTTTTTAATTCTCTCTAGCTTTCAATGGACTTTGCCATCATCGTCAGGAGCTGCAATTACAATGATAACAGTAGCAACAAAAGTGTAAAATGAATTCAAATTGACTCAACTTACAGTAGTATGTGAAGATGTTGCTAATTGTTGTTTACGTATAGGATGAGGGAAACGTCCAGTAACATGGTGAGAGCTGGGTAGATGGTACAATGGTCAAAATTATATAAAATATGACAAGAACAAGTTAAAAACAGATTAAAATTATTTAAAAAACATTAGAGCATTACATCGTGAAGCCACTTGATGATTGCATAAAATGGTGGTCATGGAATAGTGAGTGAGATGAAACCCTTTGACAGAAGGCCTAAGGTTGTCAATGTCTGTGTTGAAAGATGGAACGAATTGTGGGCGTGTGCCAAACGTTGCCAAATCATTTCAGATGATGTGATTTTCAGAATGTTATGTGAGAAATTGTTAAACCGACCAGAGGCAGTTGAATAAACTATATTTTAATTAATGAAAATTTAAATTAACAATTATTAATAAATCGTGAGAAGAGAATTATTATAACTCGTTTTTCCCCTGAAGGGTAGAAAACGATTATTTCAGGTCTTGCCTAGGCTTGACCCTGGTGAGATTACGTCCCCATTCCCTACCCTAATGTATGCCCCTGTGCCGCTCCCTCTACTCCTATTCTACGTCGGCTAGCCCTTCTGCGCAGTCGCGGCCCAGCGTTTGCCTTCCGTTGTAACGCCACGAATGCCGCGATGCAGGAGGATCCTCAGTACCTCATAATAGTCGTCAAGGACTTATTGGGGTCAAGCCTAGGCAAGACCTGAAATAATCGTTTTCTACCCTTCGGGGGAAAAACGAGTTATATTTCAGGGTCTGTGCCGTCGGCTTGACCCTGGTGAGAAGTGTTTGGTATCTGACGACGTAGAAAAGCGTACTGTGATTCCATAAAAAGAAATATTATCAGGTACTTTGCATCTTAAGAAAGAAGTCTGCGCGTGTGTGTATGCATATGTAAAAGAACACAGCTCTAACACAACTCAAACATTTATTGAACAGCATAAGAATACAAAAAAACAAATGAACTAAACCATTATTTAAAATAACAGGTACTCTGCTAAATAGGAACAAATGTTTCCTTACAAATACTATGAAGAGGTCTCTGACAAGACACACGTTTTACTTCCTTAAAGTAGTGCTTGAAAAAGGTCTCTTGACCCTTCCAGTTGCCGTTTTTTAGAATGGTGTCTAACGGAAGCTCACCTTCCCATCTTGACGATGCTACCGCAGCTCTGATACTGCCAGGCGAAGTGAAAATATTTGCCCCAACCAATGCTGTCTTTACCCATCCAGCTATGATAGCTCTTGAAGCAGGCCGTACCTGGGCCCGGCAAGTGATAAAGAGTGAATCCAGGGATTTTGCTGCCCTTCTATGCGCAGAAACAGATAAAAAACGTTTCGTCCAATAAACGGGGTCCAAGCTCGTATCGTCGTTTTGGAGCAGTTTCCACCCCGACTGCCTATAATTACTCTTATCTGTTTTGGATCCAAACTCCGGCCAAAACGTTACACACTTGCTTTCCATTAATAACCTATCAGGATTCATCCTTAATAGAGTCAAGTCATGCACTCTTCGTCCAGAGGCCAATAGCAGGATCAATGCTAACCGTCGAGAGACTTGGAATAAGCTAGCCTCGTCCACTTGATCGGCTTTCATCCAAGATATCAAATCGGACACATCCCACACGAACTTCTTTCCAGGGATAGGTTTACTGATGTCTATTGCCTTTAGTATGTGCTTGACTACAGGATGAGACGTGAGATGACTTCCTAACTGGGGATTGGCCAGCGACGATATCACGGACTTGTGTAACTTCACAGTGGCGGGAGACAGCTTTCTAACACGAAAAAGATACGCCAAATATTGTGCTACCCCTGAGGGCTCTGGATTGGTAGGTGACATCTCCCTACTCTTAGCCCATCTCAGTCATTCAAGCCACGAAGAACGGTATGTCTTCCAAGTGGAACCACGCCAAGAAGTTTCTAACAGCTGAATATCTTCTTCACACCATCCTCGTACGAGTGCAGCCCACCCTGTACCAACCATGCCACCAAACGAAGATCTCGAGCCTGGCTCAATGGCTGCCCGGTCAACGCATCTGTCAAGTGGAGGTTCAGATCCGGTAGCTTGAAAGGCGGCTCTATCACCCGAGATATTAGATCCGGTTTCCAAAACACCTTGTCCCAATTGGGGGTGATCAGAATGTATCTTCCCTTCGCTGAGTTCAGGTGATGGAGGACTCGGGGGATTAGTGCTGGAGGCGGAAATACATATGCCAGGGAATAAGTCCACCTCTTGCTGAAGGCGATTACAAAAACCGCCTGTTTGTCCCGTACGTCCATCGACGCATAATCTGGTACCACCTTCGACTGTTTTGAAGCAAAGAGGTCGATTTCCGGGGTTCCGAAACGGTGGAAAATTTGATTGGTCAACTCGATAGACGATGCCAATCGGGAGGGGCCTTGTTGCGAGACAGGCTGTCTGCTACGTCGTTGCACATGCCTGGGATAAAGTGAGCTGTCAGAGTGATATCCAGACGACTGCAAAGGGTCAGCAGCTTTACGGTAACATCCAGTAACATCTTTGACTTTGTACCGCCTTGCTTCCTTATGTATGCTATCACAGTTTTGTTGTCTGACTGTAGAAGAATCGACTTCTCAATCAGTCGACCACTCCGCTGTCGAATGGCAGCATACACAGCGAACATTTCCCTGACATTTATATGCCAATTCTTCTGATAGTGGGACCAGGATCCCTTCAAGGTTCGTTTTCTAAGACTGCTCCCCAACCTATGTCCGATGCATCCGTTGTTAGGAAAATCGTTGCGTTTTGGTGGAAAATTGGCGACACCTTGTGAAGGTTTTGGATCCACCATTGACAAGCTGATAACACAGCTGGGGGAGCTCGAAGATATTTCCTCGGCGTTGATTCGGATAGGAGAAGGCACGCTCTCTGCATCCCCCGAACGTGAAGCCTGCCTAAGGGGATCGCGAAGCTGGCGAAGTTCAACCTTCCGATGAGACTTGTAGCTTGGCGCCAGTTCCTTTGTTGATGAGTTTGAACCCAAGTCAAAGTCTTCTGAATACATTTTTGTTTCTTCTTTGGAAGGGATATTGTGTTTCCTACCGTGTCCCACCTTATGCCTAGATACTCCACTGTTGTACATGGTTCCAACATACATTTCTCTCTGTTTATAATCCATCCCAATGCCTCTAGAAAAAACATTACTTCTGAAACCTGTTTTTTTCAGGATGAGTGGGCACTGATGCGCCAACAGAAAATCGTCCAGATATACGATTACACGTATCCCTCTGACTCGCAACCTGCTCGCTAGCCAATTTGACACCTTGGCAAAGGTTGAAGGGGCGCTCGACAGACCAAAAGGCAGGCAGGTCATTTGATATAGCATTCCCTGATGCAACACTGAGAGGAATCTTCGATATCTTTCCTTTATTGGGATGTGGAAATATGCTTGCGCAATGTCGATTTTGACCATGAAGTCCCCTTTTTGTAGGAAGGCTGGGACTTTTAAATGGTTGATTAGGTGAAACTTGTTTGGATGCAGAAATTCGTTCAGAGCTTTTAAGTTGAAAATTGGTCGCTTGGTACCATCTGCTTTTGGAACTGTGAACATCTTTGAAGTGAAGCCCGTCGAGTAGTGGGATCTTTCCAGTACACCCCATTCTAGCATTTGCGCTACCTCTGATTCCATACGAGGTGTTGAAAAACTGTGTCTGGTTGAGAAGTGGAATAATGGAGGTTTTCGGATGAAAGGGATTGAATAACCTCTGATTATTTGAAGAATAGAATTGGGCGCCCCTTACTTTTGCCACTGGTTTGCATAATACTTTAAGCGACCTGCTCTGAACTGATCTTTGTCAGCGCTTCTTGCAACGAACGGGGGTGGAGTGTGGGTTCGATGATCCTGCTGAAACGGAATAACTGCGTTTTCTGGTTCCTTTCTTATATCGGTTCTTCTCAGCATCTTTCGTGTATGACCTCGGCTGGCTTGATCCTGCCATTGTAGACTGTGGCATCTTTCGCGTGGCCAAATGCGAACGAAAGGAGCTTGCATCTCTGTTTTGAGATTCAAATCTTGGCCTCGAGGCCCGAAAAAACTGCCCAAATTGTTTTATCAGGTCGGTAAATGCTTCTTCCTCGAACAGATGAGTCTTCGAGGGCGGAATTGCATCCATAAGCGCCCCTACATGTGTATTGAGCGGCCGCAGTGCCTTTCTTCTCTTTTCAATTACTTCTGCGCGCTTACCGCACACATATTGCACCAAAGCATCTGATGTGACCTTAAAGTCGCCATCAGGATCCCAGAACTCCTCCCGGATATCCTTCCCCAGTTCCGGATACTTTGCCGCTAAGGCCTTTACTGAATGCGAAAAGGCTTCTCGTTGTAAAAGTAAGCCATGCAAAATAGTGCCTAAAGTAGCATCCATAGATGCTAACATATCAGGCGTTCCTTTATTTCTGGAAAGTTGCGGGTTGACTTTTAAGGCGCTAAAAACAGGCGAGGCCTGCAGCTTCTTCTGTGCATCAACATAACGGATTTTATTGGAAGAAGCCTGCCCTAGCCGCAAGCAGTTCACCCCCTGGGCTTCAATATGTGCGTCCGCTTTAGGGACTAGAGGCTCTTGCTCCTTGGTTACCGGAACAAAACTGAAGTCCAAGTGATCTATGGGACTTTCTAGTATATCCGTCTCGTTTGGTGCACTGAAGCCTAGGTCTAAAGATGGAGCAATATTTTCTTGATCATCCAAATCCGATTCCTCATCTGAATACCTAACATCTTGGATAGACGTGCCTTGGTCGGAACGTTGTTCGATCTTCTCCAAAACATTCTGAACTAATATCTTTAGTTCCTCCTGGCTCCTTTCCAATTTATCCATTCGACTCATCTTTCTTGGCCTCGGATCAGAAGCACCCGTTGATGAACTCTCGCCCTCCGAAGAATCTGCTGCCAATCTCCGAGCCGCTTCTTTTCTTGAGATGAACAATGGCCGAAGTGAGTCCAGAGAGCTCATTACTAGCTCGTGATGAACTGCAGATCCCCTTATTCGACACGCCAAGGCTGCAGGACCAATAACCAGACCGACACAAAAAGGCCAATTCAGCATCCGGACCTTCATTTCCCGATATGTTCTCTCCGATAGGTTCTTACAATCCGGGATAAATGCTTGTGCTAGTCCGACCGTTGGAAGGGCAAATCTCAACTTATTGATCAGCTGAGGATCCATTGGATCCTCAAATAGAGATGTTCTTTCTGTAATAGCCACCTTCCAGTTCTTCCAACCATCCGGAAGGTGTTGCGATGCCAGTAGTTTAATGCGGTTGAGGATCCGCGAGTCTCCATGATCTTCTGGCGACGGATCCGCTAACTGGCCCAGAGTCATAGTGGACGGTCCTGGAGCTGCCTGCAGACAAGAAACAGCAACCCGTTAGAATCTCTACAGCCAAGGTATTCTGAAGTGATAGCTAATAACTTGATCAGTCGGCCCAAAAATGAGCCGACGGCTCGACGAAACAATCCGACGGCCTGTTAAGTGACCCGACCGCTCAGAATCGGGCCGACGTCTCCGTAATTCCAGTCGTCGGGTCCACGAATCCAGCCGACGACTGATTCAAGCTAGTTGAGCCGACGGCTCGAAAGTCGAGGCCGACGGTTACGTATAACGAGCCGAAACTGCTGATATAGCAAGAAGGAACTACAAGGAGGTACATAGCTGCTTGGTGCGAACTACCCTCGGTAATGTAAGTGATTGACCGGGGGTGCAAGTCACTTCACAACAATAAAATTGATGTTTCTGAATCATAAAGGATGTCTGAAGTAATGAACTCAAACAACATGTCGGTCTGCTAGGTAAATAACAAAACAACTTCACATGCCGTTTAGGCATTAATGATTTCGAGTAGAGGGAATGAAATCAAAACAAAGGGGACTTACCATCATACCATAATGCACTGTATTCACTCTCGCGAAGAATATGTACAGAATAGGAGCATACACTAGCGCGGAATAAAGCGTACTGAGGATCCTCCTGCATCGCGGCATTCGTGGCGTTACAACGGAAGGCAAACGCTGGGCCGCGACTGCGCAGAAGGGCTAGCCGACGTAGAACAGGAGTAGAGGGAGGGGCACAGGGGCATACATTAGGGTAGGGAATGGGGACGTAATCTCACCAGGGTCAAGCCGACGGCACAGACCCTGAAATATATTTTGAGTGGAATGAAATTTACTGGTGGAATCGGCCAAAACACAGATTCTATTTATGGTTGTGAAGAGTCGAAATTTGGGGAGATATGTAAGTTCTCCAATTTTTCGCAGTTTAGCAAA